GAATTGAGGAGAACATACAGTAAGGGTAGAGGTTTTTAATGGAAGAGTCTTCATTTGACGAAGAAGAAGTATTTTCAAGGTGATGACATATTTGAATGTTTCTCTGGTAGAGCTAGTTGATGCGTTCTGGTGAATGTTGTAGTTGAATATGTATTTTTCAAATGATTATATATTTACAGATCGAGTTGTAGGTGTGGTGTAATTAGCTTTTGTTCGTAAATTATTTGGCAACGTGTTCAGCTGATGATTGTGACAGCGTTTTGATTTCGTCAGAAGCAATAAGCTAATTTCATGTAGATGTTATTCGTGAATTGCGTAGTCAATAGTTTGATCACAAGGCATTTGAAAGATCATACAAAAGTTTGCAACGATGATGAATGTTAATGTTTTGTGGTATACCTGTTGTGGTCGATTATGTTCTAGTGGTGAGTACAGTGGACATTGTATGATGACTTTCATAGGATCTCAGTACTTTGTATGATAGTTATCGTTTTATGATACTCTTGAAAACTTTGTCTATGCATTTTCTAAGAGAACATGACTTTCTTTATTCGCGTAGTGATGGGTGTAGCATGCGAACGAAAAGCTGTTTTTTTAAGACTAGCCGTCTAGTAAAGTTTACGTTTAATTAGAATATATCTATGTTGTTGAAATGAATGACGTTGTCCCGCATGTTGCGCTATGCAATACTTTTATTTTCGTTAGTAAATCTTGACTCTATTGGTAAGATAATAGCTTTCTGATTTGCTGTAGGTGACTTTTTATTTAAGGAAGACTTGAGTTGTTGAAAAACGCCCATAGACGAACGTTATTGTATTAGAGAATTAGCTGTAGAGCAAAGATAACTACAATGAATACGTCGACCTAACTTTCTTTGTAGGACTATAAACACTTGTTTTATCTATCGTTAGTCAAACATAAGATAATTTCCACGATATTTTCTTTTTGTAAAGACATTAGAACCGGTTGCCCATATACACTTATTAGATAATAAAATCTCTTCAATGTTTCGATTGAAACATACAAATTGGTGATCTTACGGACTGTTGTGTTTTTTCGGAGTTATTTTCACTAGATATTAGTAAGGCAAATAGGAACTATATACAGTCACAAGCAACGAGAATGTAACAACTCAACGACAGCTGCACGGTTGAGAGGCGAGTACTCTCGAAAGGTCGATCGTTCCAGATAGTTACAGCTCATTTTCCCAAGTTATTCATAGATCTTGAATCTTTTCAGCTACAAGTAGTATTCACTGCGGTATTCTATATATAACACTTTAACTTTGTAAGAAATCCTTATCATATGTTAAGAAACTGAATTTTTCACCAAATAATAACTACTTCAATTCAGCACATCTTCCAATAACCATGTAGATTTCAGATTCAGAACATGCCTGATGATGATCCCTTAAGCAAGGATCGAAACGCGTCGTATGGTGCTTTGAACCTAATCGATGAATATTTCACAATCGCCTTTTCTTATAACGAGAATGATTTGAAATAATGATTTTTTGCAGTAGTTGACGAATATTTATTTATGTTTTATAATTTTTACAATCATATTTCACAAGAAAAACTACTTGAAACTGTCTGGACAGTTCATTGCGAAAGACAGGATCATTATATCAGTATTTTTAATCGCCCCAAGTATCGAATTGTTTATCTGATCTTGAATTTTCTTTTGAGCCGTTTGATGAAGTTGTTAAAGTAATAAGACTTTCTTGACAGTTTTCATAATCATTGTCGATAAGTCCTATCATTTGAGGTCTTCTTATGAACTCTTAAATAAGGATGAAACTAGCCGTATAATATGCCATGAATCGTTTCTCTTTAAGCTCGCATCCTCGTCTGATTCTTTGCTTTTCTTTTGAATTTTGTCGAAAACTGGTTGTTTGTATAGTTTATCGATGATCTCTCGGTCATTTTGGATGACTATAAAGTCAAAACTACCTAATGAAGAAAGGACTTAGCTCCTTTCGAAATGCGTCGTAGTATGCTTGACTCATCCTCACTCTCAAGATGGTGTTTTCGTCGTTCGTCGACTCAGTAATAGAACCTTTCATATGTTTGTGTGCGTGCGCATTTTCTTTCTTATACTTGGTTATTCTTATCTACGTATAAACAGTGCATTTTTCTTTCCTATACCCATTCGACCACCTGTTATCATTAACGACGCATGTATATGTCAAAAAACAAAAGAACTTATTTTCGACTAAAGAAAGAAGCAAAACAAACTCATTTATCTTTCGTTAATACGTAGTTTTGAATCTTCGACTACAGACAAAAGTTGAGTAATGGACAAAGGGAATAAGCCATCTGTATCGATCAATCTATCTGATAAGGTATCTAAAATAATATTTAAAAGAAATTTTTCTCATCTGTTCTGTGTTACATTTTATTTCGGTTTTTTCTTTCTTCTAGGAATTGGAGGTTCTAGATCGAGAATGTCGTTTTAATACCTATGGTGTGTCTGTTAGTGCACCACCTGGAGCTGTACGACCACGCTTATTACATAAAACACTTTGGCATAATTCGACTGAACATGAGAAAACATTTACAGCTGTCTATCGTCCGAGTAAATTTATGGACATAGAGGATGAAAGTGATAATGATGATGAACGAGATGCAGCGGCAACTGCTGCTGCTGATAATAAAATTAGTTTGCAAACGACTCTCGTTGATCAACGCGAACAAGAGATTAGGACGCTTGAACCTTTCGTATATCAACAACCTTCAGGCGATGATGTGGCTAAATGTATTCTAAATGAGCTACTCCTCCAAATGGACGATAACAATACGACTCTAACGACAACAATGGATGTCAATGATGTTGTTAAGGAGAGAGATCCTCCATCACCGATCAATAGTCAACAGTCAATTCTTTCCATCGTCAATGAACCACATCGAGTTTTAGACTCGCAACTTCCATCCGCAATTTACGGCCATCTAGATCGTCAAAGTATTTCGAGCGAAAGTAACTTTAATTTAACAACTGCACCGGATCAATCTCAAGATCGATTTCGTGCAAAGTCCTACGCGATCATGGCATGCACAAATGTGTCTAAGGAAGACGTTAAAAACTACATTCTCGAACAATTTGGTCAAAATAAAGTTGAATACATTTGCGTCGTCGAAGATCATAGTCAACCTGACGGACAACGATGGCTCTTTATACAGGTCATTTTTAGGGAAAGAATTGATCGACGGAAGCCATTTTTAAAAGACTTAATCGGGGACATATGTAACTACAATGTCACAAATAGTGATCTAGCTTGGAATGAGTATATCAAACGAACTGAGAGTACACCTTGTGAATATCAAACCTTCAAATCATTGAAACCGCTAACTAAAAAAGAATCTGATTCGTTAGAAGCATCAACACTGCTGACAAGCACATCCGCACATCCTAATCCGCTAACGATACTCGATGATCAACGACAATCATCATCGGTCGAACAGAAAAGAACCGCACCCAAACGATCCCTTGCTGTTGACAATCAATCGGAAAAGAAACGTAAAATAAATGATGATATCGCTCGAAACGCACTTGCGCTTGCAGAGGACAGTGTAGAGAAGGCGATGAATTACATACAACACCAATTGCCAGCTGAATTCATGCGAAATCCTCAATGGTATGACAGACCATAGTCATCTACTAGTTCACTTCTTATTTTCATATCACCATTTTTCTGCAATTATGTTTCAGGTATGAAAATACGTTCAAATATGTTCATTTGCGAGCCGAAGAGAAAGCCGATCTTGCAGGTGCAATCGACAAGGAATATGTCTGGCCAGATTCGTTTCCCAACTGTACGCCTAAACTACGTATGTTTTTTGTCATGTAGATGTGAGATAGTTTCTTTTCACTGTAATAGAATCAACACTATTTATAGGGGACACAATCGACCGATGGATTAAACATCATTTTTTTCGTGCGAAACGTGCCAAATGTCTTGTTCTGGTCGGACCAACTGGCGTGGGCAAAACATCATTCGCTTTCTCGCTTCCAGGCCGTGTGAATTATTTCAAGGGACAGTGGAATCTTGACACGTGGAGTGATTATGCTCGCTATTCGATTTATGATGATATTCCTTGGGATGAATTCAAACAAAAAAATTTTCCAGAAAAGAAAGATCTTCTTACACAAAATGGCTTCTTAGAAGTATGTAAAAATGATATTAACGCTGCGCCACTTCTCAATTCGACAATGATTTGTTGATTTTTTCTAGACTGCTTCTAAATATCGGAAGGTTACAACTATCAATGTTCGACAACCATCGATTGTGCTCATGAATCCCGAGAACGCCGGTACATTATTAGCAAAACCAAAGAATCAAGTAGAACAACAACTGGCGGCTTATTGGGAAAAACGAGCTACCGTCTATGTCTTAGGTACGATACACATATAAATGTGCACTCTTTCAACCCATCCTTTTTCTATTTTTATTAAAAACCTTCCAGGACCGGACGAATATTTTTACAAACCACATCTTCATGCCCCGGATAGCGCAACGACGACGTCAACAATGAGTCCAAATGAACTTCGCATCGGCGGACCTGAAGAATTTAGTAAAATGCACGAACGCTACTATGAGAAGAAAGCTACTACGTAATCTTGTATAACAGGTGCTATCGACTAGTAGCAATTTCAAAGACAAAAACAGTTTAATTCTAATTAGTTTTTTTATCCTACACAAATCTTTGCATTCTCCATTACTCTACTGCTGATTCTCGATTCTTAATACGATTCTCTTCTGATTCCATTTAATATTAAAGCAATAAATCATACGCCTAAAAGCTTCACACGCATACGAACAACACATCTTCTTATGCACTTCATTCGATTCTTTACTAGCTGTGAGCCCTGCAGTTATCTACTGATTTCAGGCGATGATATCTATCTAGCTAAAACATTGATTTTTCTCATTTCCGAAAATTCTTTCACATAGAAAACCTCCGCGCATAAAAAATAGTTCACTATTCCGATATCATTTATCTCAACATCATCCCTGCACGTGACAACAAACCTGACACGACACTCTGTCCTCGTTTTCCCGCCATTGAAATAAAATTCCCGCAGTTCTTTGAACATAACCATTTTCGACTGTATGGCATCAAAACTATCAAGAAAAGCTGGTAATCTAGCAGACCATTTGGGATGCAAGTACGCGTGAGCTGCTCCTTAAGACAAAACGCTGATATAGACGGTTGCACAAAATGTACACCTACTCTGCCGAAAAACCATACGCAACCACGAAAGCCTCTCAGCAGCTGCGAGTCAGTACTGTGCCGATTGGAATATAGAAATCCGTATATGAAACCTGTGCACCCAACGAGCGGAAAACAATGTCAAAACTTTCGTCAAGTTTAAAACGGAGATCAATAAAGGGTAATCCAACCACTATAATCAACCTACACCGTAGGAATCGAATTCAAAAGCAGAGAAATGAAAAAAAGGACGCGGGCCGGAATGCATACATGA